TTTTAATATACAAGGTAACAAACCGTGATAGTTACAATCAGGATCCTAACAAATTAATGCTACTCTAATATTCTTCCTTATCCTCTCTATCCGTCTTCTGAATTGACTCGCCGCTCTCAGCGTCTTCGATCACGGCTCCCATAGCCGCAGTCATCGTCTTTTTCTCTGATTCATCTCTCTCACGCTCCAACGCGTCGATCTTCTCCGCGGATACGTTGCCGTTGGCAACCTCGGACTCCGCCATCTCGGTCTCTTCTTCATCCGCATGATTCTCGTCATCTTCATCATCATCATTGATGATTTCATCTTCTTCTTCATCAATCAGATTAAACCGTCCAGGTAGATATTTCGCTATAAAGGCTATTTGAAAATCCTTCCACATATTATTAAAGTCGCGGCAGTTCCATGTATGGAACCATTTGATTGCGCTTCCTCTGAGTCTTCTCATGGCCACCTGCCATTTGTCCTCCGTCCAGATTTTTTCTTTCCGAAAATGTTACTTCAAATATATAAGCCAATCCAATGCTTCATCCTTATCTACATGAAAGAGTGGCACCTCTAACTCGCTCTTTTTCTCCATAGCTCTGATACCAATTTGTTAGAATTGAATATCCATACAGATGCAAGAGACAACCATACTTGTGTATCTACAAAAAAACTTTTCTTTTCTATTCTTGCTCTTTTTCTTTTTCTCTTGATCTACATTTCATACAAACTATCAAAGGCTATTTATAAGCTATAACACTGACAAACATAACTCCACACATAACACCCTCATTACTTTATAACTGACATAATTGACTCATTAATATTCTAACTGACATAATTGACTCATTAATATTTTCTAACTGACACAAGAAACTAAAAAATCAAAACTATTAAAAAAACTGACATTTAAAATTTATACAACAGATAAAAGGGTAATTATGATGATGTGTATTTTGATTCTTTTATCTAGGCTGAACTTGGGAGATCAAATTGCTGATACAATAGTGAACAGAGAAGCGAACTATTTTCACAAGCATTATTATGCATGTTGCAAAAGTTTCTTTCAGCTATGATTGGGAAAACTCATGCAACGGAAGACAAAAAATTGAATGGTCTTCCAAAACTGCTGCTTATAACAGGACCGCTACTAGAAGCAATGGTCCCAGAATGGAAGCCAAGATATTCAGTTGGTGAAAAGCCTCTATCTGTCTTATGGACTACATAAAATCAATATGGCTAAAATGTAGGAAATCTTAGATTTATGCGGAAGCGATTTAGGACCTAGTACATTGGTATGCTTATGTTTCACAATTACCTCTCGGTACGCAGGTCTCGTGTAGAATCTTTCCTTGTAGGATTCCTCTTCACGAACAGCTCACCTCAGCGCCGTAGCATGAACAACCTCCTTAAAGCTGGACTGTGGCAGATCTTCCAAACTATCTCTCGAGGAGGAAGGGGAAGTGTGTGGACACTGATTAGATTCTGAGCTTACCTCTTTCTCACAAAAAGACCTTGGAGACTGATGACTTAAGAAGTACTATTTATATGGGTTCCAAGAAACCCTAGCTCATTGGGCTCTAAGTTCCTTGGGCTCTTCTCATACTAATAACCCATTTGAGCTTTAGTAAAAAAGCAAACCCAACATAAAAATGGTGACTATCATCTCCACATGCAGGACCAACAATCATTCAAAACGCCCAAAAAAAGAAAAAGAAAGAATTCTAGTGGGTTTGCTAATGCAAGCTGCAAATCAATGCAAGTGTCATAACATAGAGATATGGTTGGAATCATGTGCGTGAGATAAGAGATTCATGCATGAGATTTCTGTGGTGAATATTCGAGACCATGAGCTTCTTTTATGATTCACATGTTAGACTTTTACCTTGAATTTTGGTTTGTTAAAATTTGTTAAGAGAGAAAAATGTATATCATTTTAAAGGACACAAAATTGTGTCATTTTAAGTGAGAGAAAAAGATAGATTAAAATGACACACCTTTTTTCCTTGTTAAAATAGATTAGATGCATAGCAGATGCAATGTTGTGAACTAGAACTCCTATAAAAGACTTTAATGTTATTTACAATATAGGTCTATTAGCAAGGGTGGATTGAGAGAGGAGCTAGCATTAGCGGTTTCCTCTATCTAAATTTTAATTTTTCTATTATTCTAAGTATAAAATAAATTTTTTTTAAATAAAAATAGACTATTAGTACTGATAGTTAGCCCCTTCCTCAAAAATATTTATAATAATTAGTATCTTCTATTACTTTTAATAATATTTGTAATTTTAAAATTTTATTTTCACTCCATACTATAAAAAATCTTGGGTTCACCACTGCATATTAGGCTGTTAGCCAATATGTGATGGATGAATTAGGTTAATTAACGAGTGAATTGTTAACATGAGCTAAATTATTTGCACAATTGCAAAACTCTATCTCAGTAGAATAGTTTTTGTGACAAAGGTGAGAAAGAAATAGTAGAACACTGTAATATGTAATATGTATGCATTATATATTTACAAAAAAAATAAAAAAATAAAAAATAAAAATATGTATGCATTATACAAAAGTTTAGATTCAAAGAAACTACTATTAAAGAGACAGAACGTATATACTTCAAAATATTCTAAATTTAGTGAGGTACCTAGATATTAAATAAGAACTAGCAACTGCTTGCCTGGTTTAAAGTGACACTCAACAATAACATGGACGAAAGTTTATAATATTTCTTCTAGTTGATTAACAAAAGATGCATGCAAAAAATGGAAAAATATTCTCTCCTGTTAAATAGTTATAAAAAAAGGAAATAAGAAATGGTGGTGTGGTAAAATTCCAAAAACCCGACCTTGCTTTACTCAAAGTTGTCCAAAGTGATTGCTTTTATTTATGCATCTATATATATATGCTCAAAGTAGTTTAAAGGGATAGCAGGCTGTACCCACTTTCCAAACCACTTAATTCTTTAACTTTTCTCTTTAGGTCAGGTCGTCTTGCTCTTTCTTTCTTTCGGTAGTTATGATGCATTTGTTTCTTTTTTTTGATGTTTTCTCAGCCTATACTACCCGTAGGAGGAGCTATTAAACAACTACACTTATTATGACCATTAAATATATTGATTAGCTATTAAACAACTACACTTATTATGACCATTAAATAAATTGATTACCTAACATGGTCGATGATGACAATATTGCCTCATCACATGTTTGCCAATGTATGCCAAAACCAAATGCCACAATTTTTTTTTGGCTAGTCAAAGATAAATAGAACCTTGACGGACTAGTCAGTTTTTTAAACAGACTACGCCTCGTGATCCCGTCGATATAACCAAAAATAATAATAAAGGAATAGAAGGAAACTTACAATATTTATAAAAAAGAAAATAAAGAAAAAAAGAAGAATGACAAAAAAAATTAAAATTAAATAAGATCAAATATATTGAAAACTTATAACATGGGAGAAAAGATTAAAAGTAAAAAATAAAATAAAAATAGTCTAAAAAAATGAAGACAAAAAAGAAATAAAAGAAAAAATAAGATCAAATATATTTTAAATAAAAAATAGATTAGGGCTTAAAAAAATAGATTAAGGAAAAAAAAACACGAGAGAGATTGGAAATTTACAAATTGATTTATTTTTCTTTTGTCTTTTTTATCTTATTTTTTCTTCCGTCTCTTTTAATAGTAATAGAAAAGACTAAAAGTGGAAAAAAAATATAAGAAAAAAAAAGATAAAATATTTCTTTTTTTTCCTCCTATTTTCCTAATAGAAAAGACTAATAGGAACTCGGTGAACCGGTCATCTATGATGCACAGACACGGACACGGGACATGGGACACGACACGCCGACAAGTTAATTCAAAAAGTGTCATATTTTAACACGTTGAGACACGTTTTGATATTAAATAAATTTTTTAATATATATAATATAATTTATATTTAATACATATAAGAGTCCATAATAAGTCATATAACCAATCAAATATTTAAATTTCATAACATAAATATAAATATAAATAATTTTTCGTACTTTGTTAATTTATCATGTTAAATTTTATAACAAAAAAAATTAATTTATAAATTATTTCTTTTATATTTAGTTAACAAAATAAAATTAAGATTTAAAAAAAAAAACGTGTCCGAGCGTTGACCGCGTGTCGAAAAAAGTTGACTGCGAGTCGGAAAAACGTGTCGGAGAGTTGACCGCGTGTCTCCAAATGTTGACCGCGTGTCGAAACATGTCCGTGTCGGACACGTGTCCGACACACAGATTTTAAAAAAATTTGCGTGTCCGCGATTTCCAGCCGGTCATCTGACCGATTCGTTTATCATATTGGATCGGCAAAGTACCAGACCCAGTGCGACCCGACTAGTTTTTTTTTTTTTCAAAAAATTCCAAAAATTTTTTCCAAAAAATATTCATAATTGACATATTTAAGTGATTTGTTGCTTATAGACTTACATAAGTTATGCACCTACAATATTAACATTATCTCAGTTATGACTATGCAGGAAATTTTGATTTGATTTATAGTTAGAGATGTTAATTGGACAATAATGTTTGTTTGATCCTTTATTGGACAATAATGTATAATTTATTATTTTCTTATATTAAAATATTTAGAATTTATATTAATTTTTTTTAACTATTTGAGTATGTTTGTAATTTTTTTAATACAAAATATAGATGTGCATATAATTACCGAGTCATACAATTCAATCAGTAATTCACTGATTGAACCAGTGATTCAGTGATCCGATACCTCAATCGGATCAATAATCGGACTGATTTTAATAACATTGACTATTGAAGGTATATATAAGTCCAGCAAATTGCTTTTTATTGATTATGGTCAAGTTTTGGGCTCCATTGGCCATGGTAGTGAGAACTTCTGTCAATGGCCCAGAAAAGTCCAAGAATAATATGGGCCTCCCCATTGGCAGCCCATTAACGCTTTGGAACTGAAAAGTGTTCGAATCTGAGAAACGCAGAAGACTGAAAAGGACCAGAGAAGGGGAACAGCTACTCTTGTCTTTCTTTACAGTAACAATAGAAATGCAAACGCTACTTTCGCCGGCAACACGCGCCGGCAGCTACACGGTGGCGACTCCGGCGGTTCCGTTGTCAGCTTCCGTCATCGTCGCCTCTCGTCAACCTCGACCACTTCTCCGGCCGAATTCCTTGCCCTCACTCCCACTCAAATTGACTCGTTCTTCTTTCCCTTTCGGTTCCTACATTGCTCATCGACCTTGGAAGCTTCCCTTAACCGTAAGTGCTTCTTCTCAAGTGTCTCCGGCTTTCACTCCCTCCAACGACGAATCAGAAAAAGCAAAACTCGATCAGGTACTCTCTCTCATCTTTAACCTACCAATGAATAAGGGTTTTCTGAGTTGCTGAAGCATCTTCAGCGCTGGGTGGTTCCGGTTTATACGATTGCCAATTTGAATTCCATTTCTAGGGTTCGAAACTGTAATTTGAGTTGATGCGATTGGCAATGTGGTGTGACGATAGCTGTTTTGTCGTTGTTGTCGTGCAGGTGGCGAAGAGATTGGAGAAGACTGCGAGGTATTTCAAGCGTTTGGGTAGCTTAGGGTTTTGGGGTCAGCTAGTGTGCACGGTGGTGGCAGCCGTCATACTGTCGTTTTCGGTTGTTATCACCGGAAAAGTCACATCGCCGGCTACGTTTTATGCTACTGCAGGTGGAATAGCCGCTGCTTTCATTTCTGTGTTTTGGTCCTTTGGTTATATTCGCCTCTCTGATAAGCTTCGAAGAACTGCAAACGACCCTACCAAGGTGCGTTTTCTTAGATGAATTATTTGCTTAGGGAGCTAAATGATGTTAATTGGTGTAACCGTCTTCATCATTTTTAATGTGATATTGGTGTCTGTCTGTGACATCTAAATCTAAAAAAAGTTGATTGACTGATATATGTTATCTTATCTTATCTGTTTAGTTAGTTTTAACGAGGTAGCTTCACCTTTTACTCATGCTTTCAGGCACCCCCTCGTGCTGATGTAGTGAAAAGCTTGAAAAATGGTATAGTAGTGAACCTTTTGGGGATGGGTGCTGCGATTCTTGGGATGCAAGCCACGGTTGGATTGTTAGTTGCAAAGGCTCTCACTACCTCGGCCAACCCTTATTATCAGGGGATTTCTCCTGGTTACAGCCCTGTTCTCGCATTGGATGTATTCTTGGTGCAGGTAAAACGTATAGGTTTAGCTTTCATATCAAGTTTCCTTTCTATAGATGAAATTTTTGTTTATTCTCTGGTAGGGTTCATACAAAAGGCAGATCTTGTAATTTTGGAATAATTTCTTGTTTTTATTAACGTTCCTCTCATTAGTTTCTCCTCTTCCCTGTGTCCTGCAAACTTTGACCTGCATTGTTAATAATGTTATTCAAAGACTTTTCATCCTCCGGTAAAACTTGGCCTCAGTTCTCAACTTGTTGGAAGTTTTGGGTTTTTCATATTCTTGTAGTTCCCCTGAATGGCCATCCTTTTGCCATCCCGAATAACAATTCTATTTCTGTGATTCTCTGCCATCTCCATTGTCTTTCTTCGCTGTTTTAAGAAATAAATAAGAAATGGGGGACATGTCTTGATTATAATCGTATGGAGGGTGAAGTATGCATTGATAGAGCTTAACTTGATAGGACTGAGAGAAAAAATAATAGAACTCTCATAATGTTAACAATGCCTCTCTAGTATCAGAAATATATTAGAGGGTACTCTTGAAAATAGGAAAGGTTATGAAGGTGTTTGATTTGTTTACTGTTTTCATTTTCAGTTGTTATATTTTCACCAATAATCACAAAGTACTACCTTATTTTTATTTTTATTTTGTTTCTTGTTTTGAATATTTTATAAAGGAAATGGTGAAATCAATAAAATCTTGTTTCCAGCATTTCTTTCTCAAAATCTTGAAACATGGAAATGAAATGAAAAACAAGGTGACATTTTTTGACAAACCAATGTACATAACATTTTGATTGTGTTGGATACAACATATGGTCATCAGCAATAGCATGTCTGACTGCTAGGTGCCATTCATCAAGAAGTGAGTAATGCTATTGAACATTTGTGTTATCCTTCTCTGTTTCGCAGGCTTCAGCTAACACAATTCTCTCTCATTTCCTCGGGCTTGTTTTCTCACTGGAGTTGTTGCGATCGGTTACATTACCTTCAGAAGCTATTCCATTTCCCAAGTTTGCATAAGTTGTGCTCAAGACTAGTATGATGAAATCACACAGAAAAAATGTACCCTCGTTTCTAGTGGTTGTTATCTTTTTCTTATTTTTTTGGTAAATAGTGGTTGTTTTCTTAATGAATTGTGTTCAGCCTTGATACATCATTTTAATGACATCATGTATTTCCAAGTTTAAAAGAACCTGTGCAATATCGCTAATAAGCATGATAACACCTCAACAATTCAAGATCCATGGGCAGATTGCAATGGCAGGAGTATATGGCACTGTCTACACTCGACAGCTTGAACGTGTTCGGGTTCCAACGTTAGTCACTTGTAACTTTCATCGCTTGTTTACAGTTAGTGTCAATAGGAGAAATTTCAAAATGCAACTTTGTAATGATTGTATATTAGACCTGTCATGCAATCTAAGGCTGTGTTTCTTTTTCAAAATACTGGCTAGCTTGTCTGTCTGTTTGACAGTACGATGTGGAATTTTTATCTAAGAAACAAGTTTTACCAGTAAGGAGACTTTTAATCACGTTTAATTATGCATCAAAAACTTGTACAGTATTATGGCTCGTGCAGATTTGTGTGCAGGAATTTAGTCAATATTTGAAAAAATTCGTTGAATTCGTTGCATTTTTAGTTTTTACTATTAAATTTGTTGAATTACTATTATCATTTGATTGAATTTAGTATAAATATTTGTGATATCTTATGTTTCTTTGTAAAATTAATGGGTATTATAAGTTTAATTTTATTTTTTTGTTAAATTATTGAATATTAAATATAATATATGCAACATAAATTAAAAATATTATTTAAGGGGAGAGATATTGTAACAACCAAGTTGTGTTACTACCATGTTACTACCGATCAATCTCACCGTTAGATCGATTATATTGATCCAACGGTTATATCATGATTTCTCAAATTTAATATTTTATATTTATTTTCACCTTTGTATGGTTATGATTTTTCATATTTAATGCTTTTACTTTACATATGGAGAATCATGACCATACAAAGATGAAAATAAATATAACCGTTGAATCAATATAATCGATCTAACGGTGAGATTGATTGGTAGTAACATTATAGTAATACAACTTAATTGTTACAATATCTTTCCCCATTATTTAATATCAAAACGTGTCCTAACGTGTCAAAATCTAACATTCTGTAGAATTAACATGTCAAAATATCGTGTTTCGTGTCGATATCAGTACTACATAAATGTTTCCTCGTGTTCTTAGAAAATATACCTGCAGAAGCACTTCCAAATTAGAGGTGGCACTAGTATATACATGTACGCAGTAAAAGGTACATTTACCTAGTGCTTTTAAAAGATGATTGCTTTTTTTAGTTCTATAGAAAAAATAAAATAAAAAATCATCCCTTTAATCCTTGATGGTAGGAGATTTGATTCTGTTTTTATAAACTTTCAGAAATTTTGGCGATTATCTAGTAAATCGACATAACCAGCTGACCAGGTCCCAAAATCCCATTACGGAACAAATGCAATACTTTTAGAAAACTTATGAATGACCTACATTGGTATAATGCTAGTGCTATTAGAAGGCTTTTATCCTTGTTTGATTTTAGCCTTCAGCGAACCCGATCGAGGTGATTGAATAATGTATTCCCAGGTTATAGAAATGAACTAGTTTTTGTGGCCATTGACATATCCCCATGTTAAAAGTGGAAACCTTCTATCCAAAACAAGGATAAAAAAGGAAAGCCACACACTTGCTGTTTTGGTAGCGTATCCGACTCAAATGTTGTCAACAAACAAAACATAAATCAGCAATCATATTAGCAGCAAGTATACCGTAACCTCAGGTTGGGATCAATGCCGAGGCAGTGGGATGACATTGTGTTACCATAATTATTTCCAGAGCCGAATTCCTACTTAAGAAGAATTAAAAGATTATCATAGTACACGTAGTGGTAATTAAACACTCAGCAATACATGATATATCCAACCCAACCAAAATCATTGTGGCCAAAACCATGCCATCTTACCAAACTAAAGAAACAAACCGATATGCAAGTTCTCCATGTCCTTTGTGTTCTTTTTTTCCCCTCCTCTGGTAATGTAGTCCAAAGTGAAGCTTAGCAAGGGTAACATACCCATTCTAAAAATTCATATAAAGCATCTTCCAAGAGGTACATAGAAAATCAGAACAGAATAATCACCTACGTCGAAGCCACTGGTCAATCCTGCTTCTGAAGAATTACCATACCATGTAACCATCAATTAAAACAGCGACAGCATCTCAGCAACAAGAAAACCTCAAGTAATTCATATGTTAAGCACCCATTTGTACGCTCCTAACTAGACTTCACTTATCCATTTGCACCCTGAATTGCCAATGGAAGAAATTAACCAAAAAATTTTCACCGAACCATTTAAAAGATTTTTAAAGAACGAAGATACAATTTATATTGCTTATAAAACTCAAATCAAATTATTAGTTGAAAAAATAATACAAAAAATGCCTCCACATAAAACATTCATTGTATTTGGTATTATTAAAGGTAACTGGAATTTGCACAAATATGATATAACTACCAGAAAATACCTAATTAGACATTTGTGTGCAACCATTCATATCCCATAAAACATACCCTTTCTGCAAGACTGCAACTCTTTTATTATACCTTTCAATGATCGCTAATAACTAGCTATTTCATGTCACGATAGATGCCTTATTTGACGACCTTTTAATTTTCATGGAAAATTATCAAAACCTAAGACAAGAGAACAACACGTCACTAGCAGATGTAAACAGAAGTGTGGGAGAACAACATCTCTCTGTCTTAAACAGAGAGATGCCACATGAAAAAGTATTCTTAAGACAGTACTGAAACAACCAAGTATGATGCCTCTCTCTGCAAGCAGAACTAAAATAAGATTACATTGATACTACAGTTATGGACATCGCATCAATTACACACCAAGGGGGAAGTATTGCGCAATACAGAGATTGAGAGGCACATATATGAGGAACCTGAGCTCCACTAGAAGATCTGAGGAGTGGTTTCTCAGGCAAAAGCTGAGAAAGGGGGGAGGTTTTGTGCAAGGGCCCGGTTTTGGAGTGGGAATGGGAGCTGAAGCAAAGTAACAACTATGGAGCGAGTGAGAGTGTGAAGAGTCCTTTGTGGTGAGAGGGGTATAAATAGTGGTGGAGATGATTCATCCGACACAAAAGATATGTGCCAAAAACGTTAGTCAGGTAAGGCCTACCCATGGTGCAAGCCAATGTGATCCTAAATGTGGAGGATACATGTGTGTGGGATAATCAAGGGAATGTGGTGTGACAGGGGATTTTGTCCCATTGTGTGTAGATGGGTTGGGCCCTAAAATGGGCCCACTGCATACTTACAAAACATGTAGCATTTGATAAACGGTGTAAGAACAGGATGAAACATAATATATGAGCTCTACTCTATGCTTGGTGCATGTTAAAATCAGAACATAACAGGACATGGGGTTAAAAAGTAATAAAAGAAGAACAGAACAGAACCAAATGTTCCATTCTGTTATGCCTGCGTGCCAAACATTATCTTAATACACAAATTGCTTACGAATATAAGTAGGTAAGGTTTGCTTTTGAGAAACTATCTGCATCAAACACACAGATAAAGGAATAGAATGCTCTTATTGCTTACCTACTGCACCTTCTTTTCTTTGTTTGGAATCTTGCTTAAAATCTTTTTATACTGTGTCTGAACAATCCCATGTATCAAATGCAGCTTGTTATCAATTTGGTCCTGGTACTTGTCATACAACAGAGGAAGAGACAGGCTAAGAAGAACACCTATCAAGAAAATTATTGAAATATTAAAAGAAAATTAATGCTGAAAGAATTTCACAAAAGATAATGGGTATGTGTAAAAGCAAATTTATGCTGAGAGAATTTTACTAGTAGAGCATAGAACTTACCGATATAGATCAAAGTTAGGAAGTTGAACAGACTACCAATATAAGATATTACCCACAACGCACCAGAAACCTGATACACCAAGTTCACATAAATAAGTGCCAACATAGAATTTTACAGCCGAGGTGCTCAAATTCATCGAACTCAGCAAAACACAAAGATCAGAAGAAAATATAGCCATTACCTGGAGGCAAAGCAGCAAATTCCTCTTAATTGCAATGTCGTGTGCAATGGACAAAGCTCGATTTATCCAAATTTGCAGTAAATCAGCAACCCTGGCAATAGTTTCCTCAGAGATCTCCAGATCAGGGAGAGGAGGAAGAGGTCTGTGTCATAAAACAAAAATTAATTTTAAGTGAACAATGTATAATGACCACTATAAAAACATCTCTCTTGCATTTTTACATGACTTAGCATCTTCATAGTTATTTCGTGTTCATAAATTTTTAAAACAGTTAACAGAGAATCTATATGCATTTTATTTTATTTTTTCTCAAAAAAAAAAAAAAAGTTTTAGAGATGAGTTTAAATATCAGAAAATTCACAATAAGAATCTCTCCGAGATGATATGGTTGGAAACTGATTACCAGGAAGTGAAATACCTATTGAGAAGGTTAGCGGCTTTGGCCCATAAAAAGAGAATCACGACAAGAAGCAATACCACATTGGCCACGAACGACAAGAAATTGTAACCGGCTCGCTCGAAAAGGTACCAAAATGTGGTAGCAGAAACCAGCACCGCAACTCCTCCACGCCAGTTCTTCCAAAGCAGCACATCGGCAACTACAACAAATCAGAACAAATCAAAAACAATCAACTCCGATTTTCTCTTATAGGAAGAAATCTATCGTATGTCAGGTTAAAGCATCAAATTCAAAACAAGGTCATTTGCTAACTATCAGTAACAGTAGCAAACGATCCATGGCAGATTGAACGAAATCAGACATTGCATGAGAGAGAGAGAGAAAGAGAGAACCTAAGCCAGCGCCGAGAGCGTGATGAACGGAAATCCGTTTAGATTCTCCCATGGCGATTAGGGAAGTTTTGCGGTTGGTGCAGCGTCACGAGTCGAGTAACAAACCAGATATTAGAAACAGTTCAGTTACGGTTACATCAACTCTTTCTTCTTCCGTTTTTGATCATGTACTCTGCCTCTGCTTACAGCAGGAAAGGGAAAAACGACCTCCATTCTCACCTGCCTATTCTATTAATGGGCTGGGCTGGGCTCCTCCAGCCCATTTATCATATGTTGTATCCAAACAGAATAATAAAGTGAAAGGTAACAACTATACTACTTGCGTGAATTTTTATTTTTATTTTTCAAAAAAAGTTAAAGAACAAAACACAGTTCTGGAGAGAGTGCTACGCATAGTAATCATAGATTCATAGTTGTTTGTATCACAGATTTTGAAAGCTACCGATTTGTATCATGTGTTGAATTGGATACGATGACTATATCATTGTCACAGTCACCAACCATGATTTATAATAAAAATAAAATAATGGGAGACTTATAATTGAGTTTTGTAAATTTCCAGTTTTTAGTTTAAAATTATTATATTAAGCATCATAAATTTTTTATATGATATATTTCAATTTATTTTAAATTTTATAATAATTTATGATTAAAAAATGGAATAGGATATTGTGACAACCAAATAATGTTACTACCAATGTTACTACCACATCTTAACTGTTGATTACCGTCAATCAACGGTTATCATTTTTCAAATCAAACTCATTAATTAATTATTAATTTGCAATAAATGATAACTGTTGATTGACGGAAATCAACGGCTAAGATGTGGTAGTAACATTATTTGGTTGTCAGAATATCCTATCCCTTAAAAAATTAACTTGTCAATTCACCATTTGATTACCTAACACGCATTTATTATCTTCATTGGCATGACATTTTTTTTGAAATATTCTAATCGTTTTATCGCTTCGCGATTAGTCCGATTCAGAACGGGTCCAAGATTAAGGCTTTAAACCTCTTCCAAAAGTGGTACTGGAGAAGATCGAACACATGCTCTCACCTCAACTTGCTCAGCTCCCATGCACCAGCAGACATTTTATTTTTTTATTTTATTATATTCACTGATTTATCGATTATTTTATTATATTCACTTTTTATTTTGAAGACTCAAACTCCAAACCTCTTATTAAGCGAACAAACTCCCTCCTTACCATTGAGTGTCAAGCTGGATTCTTTTAAATAAAAAGTTTGTAATATGTGTTCTCTAAACAAACTTCGTATATTTTGCTTGAAACAATAAGCATTCCCTTCAAACACAGTGCCTCACAACTCACATATAGGATACACCAGGAGTCATGACTGTGTTTTATCTAAGCCAAATATTGCTATCTAGCTTGAACCAAATTTAAAAAGTTCGGGTACAACCAAGCTTGTTTCAAGGTGCTGCCTCCTCATCGTTATCAGAGTCTCCATCACCTGAAGAATCTTCTTTCTCTTGCTGCTGTTCTCCTTCACCAGCACTCAATTTGATCTTTTTCTCCTTTTTCCTTTCCTTTTTCTTTTGACGTTTTGCTCGCTTCTTTGCCGTTCGTTCCTCTGCAGCTTTTAATCTCTCCTCCCTTCTCGAACTAAATTCAGCCAGCTCTTTTCTTCTCTGGTAGTCAACTTCCATCCTTGCAAGACGGTCTTGCTCCTTACGTCTCATCTGCCGGTACTGTTGGAAACAGAATTTCAAGAATACAAGAAGAAAACCACCCAGTCAGAACAATAAATCCATCACCTTTCCAACTATTGAGACATAAGAAAAATATGTGAAAAACACAGATATCATGTGTTAGGTAAACACTAAGTGGGTGGGGAAGCACTTCAATTTGCATGTCTAGGTTATTGAATATCATCCAAAATCCCAAATAATAATGAGATTCCATGAATAGATGTCCTAAGCATATAATTCAGGAAAGGGGGTCCTCAAGTGAAAGAAAGGATGCCTTAACCCTAATAGCATTCAATGACAAGGCTGTGTTTAAAGCCAAACAAAATGAGCAAGGTTAGTCCCTTTAATCATCCAAAGTTCTGACTAGTTTATGCATTAGACAGTTACCCTCAGAATTGAATTATCAGTTAAGGTTGGGAAATCAAGAACGCATCAATGCATCATCATCTATGAACCTTTATATTGCATTTTATAAACTGTAGTTTTCTAAGTTTAATCTCCAAATAGCAGAGCAGTATATAGTTAAAAGCTATGTTGCACCGACACCGACACGGGACATGAGATCCGACAAGACAAGACACGTTAATTATAAAACATGTTAAATTTCGATATGTTAGGACCCGTTTTGATATTGGGAAAAGTGTTTGTCCTTCTAAATGACACAACTTGTGTCATTTCACTCTCACAAGGGTGAGACCTATACCTTTATATTTTTTTGTCCACTCTATCCCCTTCTTTATCTATCTCTTTCTCTCATTTAAAATGACACAACTTTACATCCTTTAAAATGATACACATTTTTTCCTTTGATATTATATAATATTTTTAATTTATGTAGTGTATATTATATTTAGTATTCAATAATTTAACAAAAAAATAAAGCTAAACTTATAATACCCATCAATTTTGCAAAGAAACATAATATATCTCAAACGTTTATATTAAACTCAATAAAATCGTAATCGAAATCTAACAAATCTAATAGTTGGAACTCAAAATGCAACGCAACGTAACATTTGAACCTTTTTTGAGTCTTTGCAACAAGTATTAGAGTGTCGGGAAGTGTCGGAGTGTCAGGAAGTGTCGGACACGACACGTCAGGATTTTTGAAGTGTCGGTGCTTCATAGGTTAAAAGTACTATTTTCTTTAAGATTCTCAGTCATGAGGCCAAATTTATTTTAAACACTTGCTGATTAATCCGGAATCGAGTCAGATAGAACGACAGGAGCGACAAAGTATTTATTCTAAACACTTTGAACTCTTCCCATCTCAAACCCTGCTCATATTAACCAACAAGCCTCCTCGCATGCACCTTCAGTTCATAGAACTTCCACTAAATACAGTGTCTTTCTGAACCTCTCTCCAAAATTATCTGTTTTGACCAATGCATTCCCCTTATCATCACCACAGTGATCCAAGAGCCAAACAATAGATTCAATTGCAGCATCACTTCATAGTGCTTTTGTTATTTTGTATGAATCCAAAATGGAACATGATAAACATGGAAACAACTATAACTACGACTAAAAAGCACGACTCCCACTAATGTCCTTTAGTAATTATAGTATATATTTAACAGGTCCTTAAAGTGAAATTTTAGTACAAAACCTACTAGCACCTACAACAGTAAATGATTGTCACCCTGATGAGTGATAATGATAATTTTTCTTCTTGATAACAACTAACTAACAGTAATATGCACTCCCATTTAACAAACCTGCACTTTTCTAGGAGCTAACTCAAGAACAAGAAAAGGTTCTTTTATTTTCATTTCAATTTGAACAAAGAGAAGAGCATTTTTACCTGGTGGAAATCGCCGGAGCCTGAACCGGCAGAACTACCAGACGTGTTGCTGACCCGGACAGGAACATTATCGATAATACGTCGGAGCTTGATTTCCAAGTCCTCCTCTTCCTCCTTGAAAGCGACCGGGGTATATTCCACTATCGCATTCGATGCTGCTTTAGGCGGCAGGGGCGGCTTCGACTTTCCCGGCGCTACAACCACCTGAAATTCGCCGTCTTTGGGTTTGCCCGTCGACATTTTTGAGATTTACCAAAACCCTAATTTTCCACCACAGACCAAAAGCCCCAATTTCGAACCCAAGGCTGAGTTCTGAGACCCTTCGAATTGCACGCCACCGGGTCGGTTTCTTTCCAAATCACAAGATCCAAATGCCTATAACAATTTTTTTTAGAAGTTTTTATAAAAATTTATGGGGTAAAATATTATAATAACTAATTAGTGTTACTATCAATCAATTTCACCGTTAGATCGATTATAATGATCCAACGGTTATATTTATTTTCATCTTTGTGTTATATTTGTGGGGAATCATAACCATATAAAGGTAGAAATAAATATAAAATATTAAATATGAGGAATTATAACCATACAAAGATGAAAATAAATATAACCGTTGGATCAACGTAATCGATCTAACGGTGAAATTGAGTGGTAATAAAATTGATAGTAACACTACTTGGTTGTTACAATATCATTCCCCAAAATTTATAATTAAATTTTTTAATATAAAATAAGTTAATCTGTACGATTTGGTTCTTTTCGTGAAAAAAGGTCATATTATTTGTAACAAAATTAAATGTCCGATTCTATTCTTTTTTCTTGTTTATAATTATTTATTTAAAAATTATATACTTTTCTCTCTCGTATTTTATTATTAATAAATAATATTATATTCAAATAATATCACATGATTATTTTTCACATGAAATGATCCAAGTCATATATATGTCATTTAATTTTGTTATTTTTTGTCTTCGGAAAAATCTATTACAGCGTTAATAATTTAAAATTTTCTTACCTACAAGCATTAATTTTTCATTAATATATGTGGAGAAAAGCTTATTTTCTTTAATTAGGAATCTCAAATTTAAGTATAATGAATAGGACAAAGTTCGAGCTACATCATTAGACGAATCTTATTATTTTATATTTTTTCATTAATTGCATTGCAATTTTATAGTTAGTCAAAATTTGATTAAATTAGAACAATTCTTTTTCTCCATCCTCTCTCTCTCTATACAGAGGTATGTACTCGTTTATTTTATTTTCTTTAGAGATTTAATATATAAGGTTTAATCAGAATCAAATCATTATATTTTATGAAAGATACACTAATCGTAGGAATTAAATCTTATTTATTTATATATTTTGTCAATTAAAATTTATTATTTATTAGTTTCTTCTTTTACATTTAGTTTCCCAGTTATTATTTTATTTTTTTAGTTGAAAACTTTCCGAGTAAATTAGAGTGGGTCATAAGGTGATTTGAGTCCAGTTCCGATTTTTGTGGTCGGCCCAGCTTGGTGTTGTCGTTTTTACATTTTTCTTTTTTGTACATATCGTTTTTACATTTTAGTCCCTGGCCATCTTGCATCTGAGTCTGGTAGCTACCGGAGAGAGAGAGAGAGAGAGAGATCGCAGTGATCACATCAGAGCAAAAAGGAAAGAGAATAGAATCGTGGATCGTTTCCAGAGCTAAAGGAATCGAGAAGAGAAGGAGTGAGCAACGATGTTACCAACATCTTCCAAAGGACGCTCTTCTTCTTCGTCTTCATCCTCCTCCTCCTCCTCCTCTTCCTCTCGACCTAATCCCATGTTGCTTCCCTACCTCCGCAGAATCATCAAGGTTCCGATCTCTTCATTTTTCCATCTTCTTCATTCAATATGCAAATTTTATTTCTACGTTTCAGATTAACTTCCTTCTGGCGTCCATGATTTAATTCGCGATTTTATTTTGTACCTTCCATTCTGAGATTATAAATGCCATTGAACTATGGTGCAATACTCCAATAATTATTGGCTAGAAAAAAAATATTACTTACATATAATCTGATTAGAAGAGTAAGTCAAATTGTTTGGATTAACCCCTCCCCCCCTTCTCAAAAATTAGGATTAAGGCCCTGTGAACCCCAGAACCGCTAGCATGTAAGTCAAATTGTTAGATTAGGCTCGATTCCTGAATGTTGGAGCTCATAATCTTCTTGGCGTTTCGGTTGGAAATTAAATAGATTGGATCGTAATGTTCTGATTAGAAAAGTTATGACTCATGAGCGTCCAATGAAGCAAGTTTTTGCAGAAGCAATTCCCCCTCTTGAAAATATTTTATTGGTGGATGATGTGCTGCTCTCTATCTAATAAGTAAAATTATTGCTAATTTTTTTCAATTTTACAAGCCAAAATCTCTGACATAATTCATTTAGTTATTATTATTTTTTATTTTTTTCCACTTCAAATGGAGGATTCTAATCTAGCTCTGATACTACTGCTGTCATGAGTACACGAGAACGCTGGCATCACAGTTGGCAAATGTTTTTTTACCATTTATTCACTGTATTTTTAGTTCAAATGATTGCTTCATTTACTTGTTTTTTCTCTCTCTGTAATTTTATTGTTTATTGTAGTGGCAACAAATGGATATTGAATATACTTTTTGGCAAATGCTTCATCTATGTACGTCACCAAAAGTTGTGTAAGTATATAACAATTATCTCCTGTCCTTCCCCTTTTAACAAAGAAAATCACATATTGTCATCATGGTCTGATGCACAACAATATGAGCCCTCCTTGTTTGGTGAAATTGCATCACTGCACACGCCTTACGGTTCTTGTTTGAGTTTCTACTCACCCCTTTGGTTGTGTATGTGTTTGAAAATTTGAATTGTCTGTTTCTCTGATTGCTTTTTGGTGCACTTGATATGGATCTGTACAATGGACGCAGCTATCAGCATACTAAATATCACAAACGTAAGTCCACTTCTCATTAATATCTTCATTGTGTTGATATATTGGTATAAATATTTGAACAGTGATTGAGCTTCTATTTTACAAGGCTTTGTTACTTAGCCAGCCTTGATCTGCAATAAGTTATAGTACATTAGGCTAGTTACATCCATGTGACAGATGTTCTAGGGACAATAAATAGATTTTATCTTTTCTAAATTCTTGATCAACGTATTTACATGTATAACTGGTTGGGATTGCATTTAGTGATAAATGATACCAAAGATATCAATTATTGATCTTATGCTGAAATTCCTTTTATCGTTTTTAACTGATTTCTCTTATTTGGCTGGCAATGTTTCTGTTCAAATGGAAGAGGTTATTGTTCATCAACTGATATGGTCTTATCAAGCTATTCCATTCCCTTTACTCATATCTCTGTTAAATTTTATGAATGCATTTTATGAATTTCATAAGTTTATATTTCCTATCAATGATTGACAGACACAACCATTGATGGGATAAAATGTAATAATTTTACAGTTCACCTTTCTTTCAAGAAAAGGTGCCTTTAAAGTGGCAGTTAAATCTTTTCATAGTGAGATGCTTTTGAAAATGAGCCCTGAAGAACTTTGTCTTAATAGGCTTGCACATCAACTTAATTTAGTGATACATAATCATGCAAAAATGTTCAGGAAAAAAGAAACTGTAGGTTTCATTATATAGCTAATGCCTTTGTTTCATCAAATGAGGAATTTTTATTCAGTAGTTTCAAAAAATTGTTTAATTGATTTTCTTCTTCTTCTTATTTGATATTAGAAACCAAGAATCAATGGGCACGTGACGACCCTGCGTTTGTTGTGATCTGCAGCCTTCTTTTGGCCGTTGCAACTTTGGCTTACTGTGCTGCGTAAGTTTCTCTTGCATTAATGGTGGTGGCTCCTCATATTTAGATGACTTGCTAAAAATCAATTTTTTGAAACAAAATTAGTATGTAACTAATCACTAATGTAAGTCTATGTATTTCAGGAAAAAGGACTTTGTAAATTAACAAACACATTTTAAAAACTTTATAATTAGATAACTTTTTCAAAATAGTAAAAAAAAGAAAGAAAATCAGAAAAAGCTGTTTTAGTGCTCTTCTCAAAAGCTACGAGTAGTAGCTTCTGAAAAAAGCTATACCATCAAAACACTTCTTTTAAAAGCTTAAACAAACAGGTTCTTAGCCAAAGGATCATTATTTTCAAAACTTTCCTTTGTATAGTAACAGGCTGTGCTTTGTACTTTGGAATGCATAATTTTTATTAAATCGTGAACTAAGGTTTTAGTGTGATCGAATGGTTCATTATTTACATTTTCTTTAGATTTTTTATTATTTGCTGCTATATTGAGTTCAGTAACAGTAAGTGCCCCTCTGGGACTCTACTTACTTTTTTTATTGCTGTATTTTCTCATTCATTTTCAGGTATGACCATAGTACTGCACATTCTCTTCTTGTTGTCTTCTCTGTGTTGCTTTTCCACTTTTTATTGACTGGTGTATTTCTGGCAACTTTTTGCTGGTAAGGCTACTTCCCATTGTAAATATTTCATCATTTTCTTTCAAATAACTTCATCTTGATACAAACAATGGGGTATATATTGGTCCCATGTTATCTGCAGGTTCCTGACTAATGCTTATCTTCGAGAAGAGGCTCCAAACAGTTATGTGGTTGAACAGCGTGTTGAATGGTAAGTTCAATAATGTTGTTGCATCCTTTACTTGCTATGATAACTGAATTTAGTTGTTTGCATCTTTAATTTCCAGAGCATGTCCTAATACTTGGTGAAATATTAATTTGAAAATACTTTAAATTTTTTATTCCATTGATAGACATGGAGTGTACCTCTTTGAAAAAAATATATAGGCAACGCTGCGTACAATTGACCCTCAATACTACCCTTGCAAAGTTGGGAAGCCTTGTGTACCGGGGTTTGCCCTTTTTTTTAACTGATAGAGATGGAGTTTAATTGTTCATCTTTGTGTTAGAATTTTATTGATTATTTTCTAATAGCTGATTATTATTATTATTGTTTTGTTTTTTGGTTTTGCATGGAAGGATGTATGCATTTGATGTGCACTGCAACTCTTTCTTCCCAATGTTTGTTTTGCTATATGGTAATTTCTGACTCCTCGGTTAGTATGAATTCTGTTATGATGCTGGCAGCTACAATATCTTGCATTACGGTGGTACTGATGTTTGGTCCTTTGGCAGTGATCCATTATTTTCTATCTCCTCTATTGGTGGCTCATGGTTTCATTCCAGTGTTGCTGTCAAATCTACTATTCATGGTGGGCGCTTCGTACTATCATTATCTAAATTTCTTAGGTTATGATGGTAAGACTCTCTCTCTGTCTCTCTCTCCCTCTCCTTTTTTCTTGTGCATATGTTATTGATTATTATAGAAGGGTTTTCATCTAGATCTTTTCTTAATATCTGGATCTTATAATATCTCGTTAGTGTAGTTTCCTTGGGTGTGTCTGCTGTCTGGAAAACAGTGTCTTATGGCTATAAAGGCTGGGTTCCTCTACTTAGATCTTCAAAAATCTGTTCATTTGCAGTGAATCCGTTTTAACTGTTGCCAATTATCCTGTAGAAGCGTGGGTTATTGTGCTTTCTTGCATATTTGCAGCCAGTAGTCTTTCCTGTGTTTTTACTCTAAAATCCCTTTCTTATGATGTGGAGGAGAAATTCATACATTGGTCTGTCGCATGTGATCTTCAACATAGTGAATAAGTGGGTGTTAAAATGTTTGTGGTAAACTGGTTTCCCAAGTATGTAAAACTCTGAAATTGATGGCTTTGGTTTTGATTGGTGTGGATTGTGATGAGTAAAGTTGAACTAATTGTTTGACATTTCTGGCTGTAGTTCTGCCCTTTTTGGAGAGGACCACCTTTTTCCTGTACCCAATTGGTGTCGTAATTGTCCTTTCTCCCATTTGTAAGTATTGAACGCGTCTGCAATTTCTGTTTTTCACGATGTGTTAATCTCGCATCTGAATCGAATTCCTGTTTTGCAGTTATTTTGAGTGGGTTCAATCCTTCTAGATACTTTATGAACATGTACTTCAGTCGACAAATATGATCATTCCAGCTAAAACTTTTGACCTGTCAGTGTCCTTGAGATTATAGGGTCTTCAGAGACTACAACGTGAGAAGGCTTTAATGAATGATTATTTGTTTGAAGAATGCAATGGTCCTGCAATGCTTCATTTTAGGCCTTCTACCACCACCAATCGAAGTTGGACTGTAGTAAATGAGGGTAGCCAGTGTATTTTTTACAGTTATTAAATAGAATATTTGTTCAAATGAATATACTCATTACAATGAATTTTCTTTGTCAATGCGGCATCTTTCCTCCCCCCAAGAACAATTCTATTGAAAAAATTATTTCATGAGGCTAGCTATTTGCTGTTCGAATGAAGGGGGTCGTTGACTCTAAATTTGTCCCCATCATTGATGGAGTCATGGTTAACTTCTTTGAGTAGTCATTAGAAGTGTAGGGGCGGGGCTTTTTGTGTGCATGATTTGAGCATGTTATGAATTAAAAAGATGGAGGAAAAAAAAAAACAAATCAAACGAATACATGTACTATTAAGTGTCAAGGACAGTGATGAAACTAGATTGTAAGCTAAAGCTATAGATGGCAGCCCACGTGTCGTGGCCCAACGCCGGAACTGTCAACCCATCACTTATCAATGTTATTTGCTATCGAAGGGAAGGAGCTTGTTTTTTTTTTTTTTTGTTGATAACAAGGGAAGGAGCTTGTTTTTGGTGGAACAGAAGTTTGTGCTCTCTTAAAAAATAAGAGAAAAAAGAATTGAGAGAGAATTTAAAAGAAAAACAGGGATATAAATGAAAGAAAATGTATTGTTTTGATAAAAGATCACTAAATTCATCGTGATCCGGGATCATATTAAAAAAATTCAAAGGAAAGGCATGGTCATCGTTCTCTAAAAACTTTGATTTTTTATTATTATAAAAATAATAAATTATTAATATTAATAGTTAATTCCTCCTAAAAATACTTATAAGAAATTATTAATATTAATAGTTAATTCACTCCATAATAATAAGACATTTAAAAAAGAAAATTGTTTCATCCTAGTTGCAGTTAACTAACTAAAACTAACCATATTTTCTTGGCTTTTTATCAGAAATGTAATTAATGCAGATAAGTTATCTGCATTTACTCTTAAAATGACGTTGTTTTGGGATTAAAATATTAAAAATTATAATTATAAAGACTATAATAATCCTGAAATAAATTAAAATCACAAAATACCATGATTTTCATCCCAAAACGGCGTCGTATTGGGCCTACTGCAGAAAAAATGAACCCTTTTTTCATATCGGCTATTTATTTATGTAGTAGGTAAAATTACAAAGGGAAAAATGTTTCTAGAGTTAATGCAAATAAATTATCTGCATTTATTCTCAAAACGACATTATTTTGGTATTGAAATCTTAAAAAATTATAAATATAAAGACTATTATAATACTAAAATAATTTAAAATTACAAAAACACCATGATTTTCGTCCCAAAACGACGTCGAATCTTACTACAGATAACTTATTTGCAGTAACTGCAGAAAAAGCGAACCCAATTATAAATTGAGTTCGAAATATAGCTTTAAAATTTTGGAGTGATAATGAAAGTTAACGTCAGGTTTTGTTGCTGTATCTAATTAATGATCCGACGATATTAGGATAGGGTCACTGGCGGACCCAGAATTTTTTTTTTATGTCCACATATTTAGTGACAGGGGTTCGGGGGCAGCGCCCCTCGATTTTATTTTTTTTGTAAAGAAAGTTTAAATTAACGCTTGAACCCGCTCATAATTTGGTTGCTTTCACAACAAGCTGCATGCAATAGTTTGACCTATCATTTTTCTCCCTAAATCTTACCAATCCTCCAAAATAAATATGAGAATATACTCCAGTACATCCATACATCATCGTTTTATTTTATAGTGGTGAATAAAAAAGTAAGCACTATCTATATATAAGGTAAGCAAAATCAAAATCACAGATCTCGTCTCTAGAAATTAACTTATTTGAGAATGTTAGACCTGCAATCAATCTTCTCTCTAATCAATTTGCGTTACTACGTTGTTTTAATCATCTCTGGACGTTGTTAACTAATATAAGAATAACTATCATTTTTTGTCCCTAACAAAAAATTCGATCCCTAGTTTCGTCCATTATAAAAAAAATTTAGTCACCGGGTCACTATGAAATTCAAAGTGGATCCATTTTAGTTTTTTTGAGGGACTAATGTGTATCTTTTTTGAATTTGTGAGGAACCACGATTTTAACTAAATTGATCCACTTTAAGTTTCTCATAGAACTCGAGATTAATTTTTTTTATAAAGAACTAAAGTGGGAATCGTGTTTTTTATTAGGGATTTAAAAAAGCATTTACTCTTAATATAAATATTGAACCAAGATATAAATAATGACCTACAACCAAAAAAAAAAAAACTAGAATCGAAAATTTCATGTTTGCACTTGCGGACATTTGCGTCGATGTGCGTCCGCCACTGGATAGGGTTAAAAAGCAATGCCAAATGCTCCTTATATACATGCTAAGATGTAACGCGTCATTTTATAATATCTTCTGTCATATTTTAAGTCCTTAACACACTATCTTTTGACTTGAGTGACTTGAGTTCTCAAAGATTCAATATGTTTGCGTGAGAGAGAAAATTTAATATAAGACAAAAAATAGAACTAGAATTAAGAAGAAAATAGGCTGTTTAACAGTTTGAGAAAGAGAAGATTCCTTTCCCTTCAAATTATTATATTATACATCACTCGTTAATGAAAATTGTACAAGCTTTGTCCTGTGCTCTGCAAGTGATAAATAGGTAATTTTTTATATTGAATAGAGCAAATGAAAAAAATAAAATAAAATCAGTGGACGGGAAATAAAATGTATCGCGTGATCCGTAAGCAGTAGAAAAAAAATGAATGAGTGGTTAACGTCAGTGACTGAATCGACTTCTATCTATGGAAGGGGCTTTTCTTTATCTTTTAAATTGCAGTGACACGTAGAATCACCTCTTTTTAATCTAGTTTTGAGGTCTAATAAAAAACAGATATTTATATCAGAATTGATATTTATAAAAATATTTCTTGTAATGAAATTTTATATCATTGACATATTAAAATTAAAATTTATACATTACATGATTGTTTAATGATCATCATTAAATTAATCAAAATTTTGTTGTAAAAAGAAATATATTTAATGATATCAATGTTTGTCAAAAGGAAAATATCACATCAAATTATATGTAACCTAATGTCATAAATTTTCTTATAAAAATATTATTATAGCTCAATATATTTAATTTTAATAAAGGGTTTGTTTTTTCTGCAGTTACTGCATATAACTTATATACGGTAAATTCAATATGACATCGTTCTGGGACAAAAATCATGGTATTTTTTTAATTTTAATTTATTTCAGGGTTATTATAGTCTTTATAATTATAATTTTTTAATTTTTCAATTCCAAAACGACGTCGTTTTGGAAGTAAATGCAGATAACTTATCTGCATTAACTGCAGAAATATTTTTCTGTTTAATAAATTATCTATTTGTGAAAAATAACTAATTATTTAATTGTTGTGAATAATTATAACATTTTACAATTAAATGAAATCCTCAAGCTATGCCATCGGTACATGTTATGAAATTGAGATTGGCTTATGATTTATGAATGCTATTGCGAGTGGGGCTACAATAAAAAATAAAAGAAGAATCACAACAAAAGACAATTGAATGGATGGGCTTGAAATGCTGCACATTGAAATGGTAAATAATTAAAGGGGAAAATGGCAAACATATGTCCTTTTAGCTGTTTTTGTTGTATTTTTTTTTCATTTTTCAAAAAGTATAACTTTAATATTATAATTATGTAATTTTAAGAATACATATTTAAAATTATTAAAAATATATAATGTGTATTCTTTAAAAAGGCACTTACTAAACCCATAATTAAATGAAAAAAAAAGCAAGTGTATTGTAGAAAACAACACAGCTGCTTAATAAAAAGAAGACAAAAAACAATGCAAAATTGAGCAAATGCACTGTAGAATAAGAGGACAACACAGCCGCCCAATAGAAAAAAGACAAAAAAGCAGCGCAAAACTGAGCAAACAGCTGTGAAGACTGAAGAAGAATGTTGCAATGGAAAATAATAGTGATGTTATTTTATTGTATTTCAATAGCTCATTAGTGACATCAGTTATGATTTTTTATGCTTTGAATTTTTTTAATATTATTTAGATGTTTGTAGTAATTTATAGATATAATCATATAATTATGATTTTATGTTTGAAAATATATTAATGATTTAATACTTTACTATTAATTGAAAAAAAAAATCATACAATCGGTATTTATTTTTAACACTTCATTGGTATATTCGCCTGATGTGAATGTTTTGTCTCTAGGTATTCATAAAATAAATTATTTAAATATAATTTGAAAATTAATGCTATCAAATGTCAAATCCTAATCAATTTATATTTGTCAAATTTTAATTCTATTTAATCAGTTTAATTAAATATTTATTTTATTCTATCTGTAGATTTATAATTTGTTAAATTTAAATTCTATTTAAAAATCATTCATTAATAAAATTTAACTCTTTAAGTCAAAATCAATTTCGTATTTATTAAATTATAATAATTTATTGTAAAAGCATGAAAAAGTCATAACATTTATTAATCGGGGTCCCCAAGGAGAACAAACAAGCTACATTACAAATTCACCAACCATAAGACGGGGCAGAAGACCCTGCGGCCAGCACCCCTTAGCTAGGTTGAAAATGAAGAATGTGAAACTAAAACGATGTTTGACATACATGGATGGCTGAGAATAGCCCTACATAAAGTCTCAAATTTCAAACATTAGGTGAGAGTCGACGAATCAACATACACTCCTCAAAAAAAAGTTGGTGAGCCACTACTGCTAAAAATCGACAAAAATTATTTTTTTAATGGTACAACAAAACCCACATTTCAAACAACGAAATCATTTGCATTCTAGTAGGAAGTTTGGTATCGTTTGATTTCCTTGAGAATATGGTATCACAAATTAGATCAATAAAGTGTGCGAAACCAAAGCAGAGAAAAACAGTGCACTCCTCAATAAACAAACAAAAGTGACTTAATTAACATATGCAGACTCTTGATGATATTGTTGTCATGTTTGTTTACTTTTCACTGATCAAGTTTGCTGCCTTTGACATCCACAACGAACCTATATCTCACATCGTTCTTCTCCAATCTTTCAAAGGCTTTGTTAATGTAATCCATCTTTACAATTTCGATCATCGAACTCAGACCCTTCTCTTTCCAGAACTCTAGCATCTCCTCTGTCTCCTTTATGCTCCCAACGAAGCTTCCCGTGATTGATTTCCTCCCTGCACAATTAACAAGCATCAGATACAAAAAAACTTAGGCCCAAAGCAAAAAAGTTTACAACTTTGCAAAGAATGAACTAAAGGGTAGCAAATACTCATGCATGGCCAGATCAAGGAGAGAATGGCTTACCTAGCATAACCATAGGACTAACAAATTGCAGAGGGGTGTTTATCACACCCATTAAGATCAACTTGCCATCAACTTTGAGCAACGAAAGATAAGGCTCAAGAGGGTGACCAACAGGAACAGTGTCAATAATATAATCAAGTGAATCAGCAGCTTCCTGCATGCCAGTGGCATCAGAGCTAACAAGATAATTGTCAGCTCCAAGGTGCTCAAGAGCCTCTTTTTTCTTCTTATCAGAAGAGCTTATCACGGTCACATGGTGACCCAGTGCCTTTGCTATCTTCACCCCCATGTGTCCAACTCCTCCAAGCCCCAATATTCCACCTCTCAACCCACTCTCTTTCAGACCAAAATGTGAAAGTGGACTATACACAGTCACACCTGCACACAACAAGGGTGCAACTTGCTCTGGTGCCAAACCCTCTGGTAATTTCACAACAAACCTGACACCAAAAAATACATAATCAAATTGAAAAAAAAAAAACGTCAAAATTTGACAAAGCAGGGAACTTTAATTTTGAAAGAAATAATGAAAATTGAGTTTTATTACTTCTGCTCAACGACCATGGTTTCAGCAAATCCACCCTGTGTGGGTTTTCCATCAGTATAAACATCATTGTAAGACCAGATCTTTTTGTTGCAGTATTGCTCAATATCTGATTGGCATGCCCTGCAGTTTTTGCAACACCCAACGAGAAGTCCAGCTCCAACCACCTCTCCCACTGTGAACCTGGTAACATTAGAACCCACCTCTAGTACCTCTCCAACCACTTCATGCCTGTTTTTTTTTTTTTTTTTTTGGAATAATCATTAGTCACAACAGAGAGAAACATAATCTATATGAGGCAAGTTAATGAGTGTACCCGGGGACCATGGGATAATTTGACATGCCAAGATCATTTTTAATTTGGTGGAGATCAGAATGGCAAATTCCACAGTAGTGAACTTTGATGTATACATCATCGGGTCCTGTGTTTCTGCATGTTTTACAAACAATTATTGTCACACAGGGTCAGAACCAAATAGAGAGTAGTATAAAACATTAAAAAAAATATTAAAAAAAAAAATGACACAATTTGAGATCACCTCAGAGTGTATGTGTATGTGGAGAGAACCCCTGAAGGGTCTCTTGCTGCCAAACCTATTGTTGTTCTTTCTGTTTCAAGGCTACCCATGTTATTTCAGAAGCAAAGGGGTGAATAGAGATGAGAATTTGAGATAGTAATAAAGAGACAAACAGATGAATGAATGATGAGTCACGTCTTGAGTGGTTTTAATGGGGTTCATGATAATGCGTATAAATAAAGGTGCCAAAGCCAAATATCTCTTTGGATGGGGGGTGGGACCGTATGGTGCGGTAGGTGAATGGATCTGGTTTTGATCAGAGACGTTGTTGTACACTCTCCGGGCGTATCTACACCTTAGATATATGAAAGCGTGTAACTGAAACTTCAAAAGTAGTGACATTTAATGGTCATTATTCTCCTTTGAGGAATAACCTCCGGGACTACTTATTATCCTTTTGATCCTATGTTTCCTTCTACGTATTGATCTTTTTCCTTTTTTTCTTTTGATTGTACGTTTTGATCATCTTGTTTGATTGATCTTATTTTTATAATTTTATATAATAAAGTGTAAGTAAAGTGAGTTTGTTTAAATATTAAGGTTTTTTTTTTTAAATTGTAATTGTTATTTGTCACAATTAAAGCTCATTAAGAACCTGCAATCAAATGAGATATGATTTAATGTTTATTTAAAGAGATATTATACCTGAAAAGAAAAAAAAAATGAAATTGTGTTTCTTTTTTATTTTATTTTTTTGTCTAAAAAAAAAGCAATTTTTTTTCTCAGTTTGTGGCAAATTAATTTGGTAAAATATAAGAAAGTTGTGGGTCTTGTTCGCAATTCGGTAATATATATATATATATATATATATATATATATATATATATATATATATATATATAGTCAAGTATACCAAACAGAATTCATATATACGTTTAAGTTTTTAATATTAATTTTATGAAATTGTATCTCATATATGCAACATTTTAAAATCAAGTAATAAAAGTTTGCATGAAAAGCTGAGTGAGGGTTGCCTATCGCCACGAGGCCCACGGCTTCATTAGAATGTACCCACACCACAAGCCATAAGCTAGGACTTAGTGTAATTTATTATCAACAAAATATTTTCATTAAATAAAATTTCATAAAATTAATATTTAAAAATCTCATATATATAACCATTGAATTATTTCCTATTCAATCCAAGAGCATCATATTTAACGTGGGATTTGGTGGGCAACAACAATCTTTACGAAGGAGATAACTACAACAAAGCAAAGAAGTGGGCCCTCACCAAAAAAAAAAAACAAAGAAGTGGGGTAATGGCAATGAAATACTGCAAAGTTGAATGCGGATTAGCCTTGCCCCAAACTTATACAGCTCGAGGGATCTATTATACTATTTAGAGCATTTCACATAATCAAATATCTCGAGTTTGAGGTTAAATATATATATATATATTTGATAAAGAGCCATTCCTATAAATTCAACCGTGCTCGAACAGAATAAAATCAAATAATTATTAAATCGGTTGATAAAAAAAAACTTACTGACTCGTGAATGTGACTCAGGACATTTCTGGACTTACACGTTACACCCAATCAGTTAAATTTAAAGTTACATTACATTTAGAATTATGAAATATTAGTATACCTTGTAAGTGAAAAAAGCCGAAAAGGAGAAAGAAATATGCATAGTTAGGTTGGGTTAAATATGGCTTGTGGTTAATATCAGTTAACATGTTAGTGCTAGATGTTTGCATCATGCATAAGTCAGTTGCCTATTTGTCAAGATGTTAAGGACTGTTTGTCCTAATTAGGAGCTGCTGTTGCAGATTGCGAAGGCTGCCCAGATCTACTTTCCAGTTTCCCTGAAAAAACTTGTATTCAGAGTAATTCCAGTCTTCTTCTTTTTTTCGTTAGGTGTTTGATTTGACGTGAATTATTTTTTATTTTTATTTTTTAAAAGCAAATTTAACATTTTGTCACTAAAACGTTAGGTGTTTGATTTGATCATGTGGGATGACCCCACGGCTCAATTTCTGATACAACATACATGGACAAAGATATTCAAACAACATGAATTATATATATATACGGAGCATGTTATATTTATAAATTTTTTTGTTTATAAATTTTTAGAAGCTATTTTAAGTATGATCGGTCATACTTTAATCATGCAGTGTACGACCAGTCGTTCTTAGTGTAATTTATAAAAAAAGTTTGTAAACAGATCTTATATATATATAATCAACCGTAAGTAGGAGATCATCTTGTATACATCTGTCGCAAGTACATCTCCCATTCAAAAATTGACATGTGGATTAAAAAAAAGAGTAAATACCATTTTTAGTCCTCAGCAAATTTCACGATACTCGCTTTAGTCCCTAGCAAATAAAAAGGCCTATTATGGTCCCTAAAAATTCAAAATGGACTCATTTAGTTGAAATCGTAGTCACTCACAAATTCAAAAAAGATCCATATTAATCCCTAAAAGGACTAAAATGGGTCCTTTTGAATTTCTTAGGGACCACAATGAGCTTTTTTATTTGCTAGGGACTAAAGAGGGCATCGTGAAATTTGCTGAAGACCAAAAATAGTATTTACTCTTAAAAAAAATATTGTTTTGTTCTCCATATAGAAATCACAGGTAATGCTCCATTTTCATTGATTGGTCACACCAAATGCAGGATACAACAGATGTACACTAAATATTTCGTGTAAATAGGAGATCATTTTATATATATCTGTCGCAGGTACATCTCCCATTCAGAAATTGACATGTGAATTAAAAAAATATTTTGTTCTGTTCTCGTACAGAAATCATAGGTAATGCTCCACTTTCATTAATTAGTCGCACCAAATGCCGGATGCAACGAATGTACAATATTTCATGTAAATAGGAAATCAACTTATATACATTTGTCACACGTACATCTCCCGTTCAAAAATTGACATGTGGACTTAAAAAATATATTGTTCCATTCTCCGTACAAAAGTCACAGTTAATGTTCAACTTTCGTTGGTTGGTCTCTTTCATGCCATGTACTAGATAATTTCCTATCCTTCTCTCTCATGTAATGTCATTGCAACATTAAAAAAAACAAAAGATAAAGGGAAATATTATTTTCCTTTCACCTAACATAATTTCTCTCACTTCAATTTTTGTATTTTTTTTTTCTTGTAATAGTGAGATTCACTTATTTTATCTCTACAACATAAGATAACTATCTTATGTAACATGAGACTTCTAAAACCCAAAACCAAAAGTTATGCCAACATATAGCACTTTAACGCGTTATGTGTAGAGTTCTGTGAACGTTAACTGACCTTGAGACGGAGGAACAAATTTTACTAACCATTAACACTTTTAGGGGGCGTTTGGTTCAAGAAATTTTTTTAGAATAGTAGAGAAATGAGATAGATAGAGAAATAATTGGAAAGATAGATAAAGTGAGATAGGTAAAAAAATGTAAAAAAAGTTGTTTGGTGGGAAAAAACTTTACTGGAAAAATTAGGTAACTTTATGAAATCAACAGTGCATTAAAAGTCAGATAACCGATTTTTCGAAAAATCCCACCTTCAAACTGGGTTTCTAAAAAGTGCGAATATCTATGTTTCTCATAAATCCAGACAAATTGGATAGATGGGTTTTTGGTGAAAAACGTTGAAACAAATTTAGTGTTTCTAAAAGTCATACTTAAAAAAGATAGATATCCACTGAAAAGCTCCCAACCAAACACCACCTTAGAGACTTCATAGCCAATTTCATTCTTCTTTGGACAATTGTTATCGATCTCATTTTTTTTATTTTTATTTTTGATAACAGATCTCATATTTTTTTGGAACCAATTTAACTATTTTCCCATTAAATGAGTGAAGGAATAAGCATCTGGAAGAATATCTTCCTTATTAAACAACTATTGAATCCAAACCTTCCATATCTGAGACTAAACCAGTTTTTCTATAAGGGAGTTGCACGAATTATTTATGATTTTTTTATTTAATAATAAATATTCAGTGCATTTAATTTATTCTATTTTAAAATAGTGTTTAGCTAAAAGTGTTAAAATATGATAGAGATTTAAATTTAAAATTTAACAATTGCATAATTTGATATATATATATATATATATATATATATATATATAGTTCATTTTTTCTGCAGTTACTGCAGATAACTTATCTGCATTAAGCCAATATGACGTCGTTTTAGGGCAGAAATCATGGTGTTTTTGTAATTTTAATTTATTTCAGGGTTATAATAGTCTTTATATTTATAATTTTTTAAGATTTTAATACCAAAACGACGTCGTTTTGAGAATAAATGCAGATAACTTATCTGCATTAACTGCAGAAACATTTTTCCCATATATATATATATACATATATTGTTCGGTCCTAGAGAACCATAAATCTATATCCCATGGTATACGCTTAGACATGTCTTAAAGATAGATATCCCGATTGGCTTATAGCCAATAAGCCAATCACTTCGCACTATAAATAGACATGTAGCCAAAATGTGGATGTGTGCACAGTGTTGGCGGTAATAGTAAATAGATCAAAAGTGTGTAGTCTTTAACCTCTTATTTATAAGGATTACCTTCATAGGCTTGGGCCTTTGAGATCTTTCAGCTGATATGAAATCTGCCTTGATTGATGGAGATAAAGATCTTATCCCTTTATTCTCTCTAGATTATATGGTTATGATATCCCTATTCAATCTTGCTAGTAATAGGAGTGTTAGGATATGGATTCAGTCCATATATATATATATATATATATATATATATATATATATATATATATATATATATAGAGGTAGGATCCTTTGACATCAGTGTCAAATTTGAAGTTTGACACCTCATCCGAGAGCCATTAGATCAAAAAAGATCAACGACTCTGATTTGTAAGCATGTGACACCATTGATCTTTTTTGATCTAATGACTCTCGGATGAGGTGTCAAACTTCAAATTTGACACCGGTGTCAAAGGATCCTACCTCATATATATATATATATATATATATATATATATATATATGGAATTTATATTTCTGCAGTTGCTGTACGTGCATCAATCAAATACTTGTCATAACCATACACCTGTTGTTGTTGTACGTAAAGCGACTGCAGAAATATTTTATATATATATATATATGGGCGCTATTAATCTCCTGTTGCTGGAGAGAAGTTATCTTCAACTGACACATGCTTCTCGGGATACAGAATCGTATCCCCAGAAGCATGTGACTGCTGTAGATAACTTCTCTTTCCTGTAACTGAAGAGACATATATCCCAATATTTATATATATATATATATATATATATATATATATATATATATATGGGCTTATCATTTCTCAAGCTGCAGGAGATAAAGTTATCTCTGACTACTAAATCATAACCGTACAAAGATGGATCAATGGTGACAAATGAAGAGAGAGAAAAAAAGAATCATAACCATTCAAAGTTGAATCAATTAATATAAGGAAATAAATAAACAAAACGACGTAGTTTTGAGGTGGCCAGAGATAAACTTATCTCAAATTGCCGAAGAAATGTTTTTCCCTATATATAATATATATATATATGGGTAATATTTCTCTCAAGTTGCACAGAGAGAGAAATATTCTCCTACACTCACATAGTCACATTGATAATTGAGCTACTATTTTATTTTATTTTTTCTCTTGGTGGGCCCCACAATTGTATGTGAGTGTAGGAAAATATTTCTCTCTTATGCAACTTGAGAGAAATATTACCCTGTATATATATAGGGAAATCATTCTATTATATTGTAAGAGAAAGCACTCTCATGCTACTCACCTTTTGATTCTTGTGCCACTCTTTTTTGTTCTTTAATAAGTGTGAGTTCCACCACACCTTGAATATACAACAGAGATATCTAATATCCAATAACATGAGAAAATGGAAACATATATATATATATATATATATATATATATATATATATATATATATATATATATATATAAAAGTAAAGAATTTCTCCAGTCACTAGAGATAAGTTACCTTTAGTGACCCCAAAACTACGTCATTTTGAATTAATGAAGAGTGTTACCGCAATTTTAAGTGAATTAATTAAGGGTGTTTCAGTAAAATTCATATATATAAAAAACAAAATTACATAAACACCCTTTATTAATTTAAAACGACTTAGTTTAGGGAGTCTCTGGAGAAATATTTTACCCATATATATGAGAAAAATATTTATCCTTTTAAATGATATAACTTTGTGTCATTTCAGATCCTAACTATTGATTGGCGGAAATCAATGGTTAGAATTTTTTGGATTTTATTGCGAATTACTAATTAATTAATAAGTTTGACCTTTGACCAAATAAATCCTAACTATTGATTAACAAAAATCAACGGTTATGATCTAAAATGACAAAAAGTTATATATTTTAAAAGAACAAACATCCCCCTACACACACATATATAGGAGAATAGTTGTCCTATTTCACATAAGTTAGTTGTCTTATATTGCAAACTCATGGAATCTTGTGCCCATTTTTTTTAAAAAAAAAAATTATGGACCCCACCACTTTGTTTCACCTAAGTACCTTTATAATTTGACAAAAAAATTAATAACTCCCATATATATATATATATAGGAAAAAAGTATTCTCATGCTACATGAGATAAGTTTTTCCTCCTACACACCCTTCGATAATTGTGCCACTTTGTTTTTTAGGTGGTGGAGCCCACAATTTTCTCTCTATGACATGAGATAACTTATCTCTTTTAATATGAGATTAATAAAACTCATATATATATTATATTTATATATATGCCAAAAATATTTCTGTAGTTAATGCAGATAAGTTATTTGCATTTATTCCCAAAATGACGTCGTTTTGGTATTGAAATCTTAAAAAAAATATAAATATAAAGACTATTATAATCTTGAAATAAATTAAAATTATAAAAACACCATGATTTTTGTCCCAAAACGACGTCGTATTGGGCTTACTGCAGATAACTTATGTGCAGTAACTGCAGAAAAAGTGAACCCTATATATATATAGGTAAAATTATTTCTGCAGACGTTTTACGTACAACAACGACATGTGTATGGTTATGATTCTCCACATTTAATGCTTTCATCCTTTGTATGGTTATGATTCCCCGCATTTAATGCTTTCAAGCTATGAAGCACCGACACTTCAAAGATCCTGACATGTCGTGTCCGACACTCTTCGACACTCCGACACTCCAACGCGCGTTGTAGAAACTCAAAAAAAGGTTCAAAGGTTGCGTTGCTTTGCGTTTTTAGTTCTAACTATTAGATTCGTTGAATTACTATTCCCATTTTATTGAATTTTATATAAATATTTGTAATATCTTATGTTTCTTTGCAAAATTAATGGATATTATAATATAATATACATAACATAAATTAAAAATATTATTTAATATCAAAACGTGTCATAACGTGTCAAAATCTAAGATTTTTTTAGAATTAACGTGTCGGAGTGTCGTGACGTGTCGTATCGTGTCCCGTGTCAGTATCGGTGTTACATAGCTTTCGAGTATATATATGAAAAATATTTGATTGCTGCACAAACGCAGGCAGAAATATAAACCCCATATATATATATATATATATATATATATATATATATATATATATATATATATATATATAGAAAGTAGGATCCTTTGACACCGGTGTCAAATTTTAATTTTGACACCTTATTTCAGGGCCGTTAGATTAAAAAAGAGCAATGGTGTCATATGCTTACAAATCAGAGTCGTTGATTTTTTTTAATCTAACGGCTCTCAGATGAGGTGTCAAACTTTTTCTTTGACACCGGTGTCAAATGATCCTGCCTCTATATATATATATATATAGGTAGGATCCTTTGACAAATTTAACACCTCATCTGATAGCCGTTAGATAAAAAAAAATCAATGGTCCAAGAAAGAACTCACCAATCACCATGTAGGTGTAGAACTCACCAATCACCATGTAGGTGTGGCACTGGGCAGTAGCGACATCCACGTGGAGACCAACAAAGCCGTCTCGCAAGGCTTTACTCAAATAATATTATGATTAGAACTTGTAATATTAAGTTTAATACAAAAAAGTTTATAAATATATAATAAAATAGTATTTTTAGATGATTTTTATAATGTTTATTTTTATAATAAAATAAGTAAATTTTTTAATTAGTGAAAAATGAATACATTTTTAATGGAGTGGTTTGACCGCTCCTAAATAGGTAGCTTTGATACCAATTATTAAATTTGTACACAATTTTAAAGTAGAATTGCACACGGAAAATAAGAAGATTATATTGAATTAATATGGAAGTGTCTTACCAACTGAAGAATTACTACAACAATTTGATAACTATAATACTATTAATTAAGAGGCTACAGTTCTCCCAAATTCCAATTCTATTCCCAATTATTTGCCTCCCTTTTTCATTTCTTTCAATTCTGATCATCATTATTATTGAGCAGCTTCACTATTCCGCCACGCCTTCCTAACAAATTTTGCTAAAGTTGACATTGAGAGATATGAATCTTCGATAATGCTTCCTAAATCCTACTATACACTTTTACCTTTGGACCTTTGGTATCGTATCATTATATATCATTATATATACTAAGGGAATAAACATCAATGGAAAGTTTAGTGACATGTCACTCCCACATTCAGTTTCACCAATGTGTTCACACTTGGGAAAATTTAAAAACTTTCTTTTGGTATTTTTGTTAAATCGAAAATGCAGAGTTAATTAAAATAAAATAAATGTTTTTCTTATTTTTCACGAATGTCTTCCACATCTTTATACATTGGTAATCGTTATGTGCATTGAATGTTATAATTTGAATTCAAATAAGAAAAGAGACTTTTCAAGTCCATTTTGGAAGTTGTGTATAAATAATGATGATGATTTGTCTTGCTTCATGCTTTTATTGCTGTACACGAAAAAAAACAATCATTGAATACGATAAACCCTAAACCCTTTTTTAATTAATGGAGCCAGAATTTGAAAGGTTACATAACTCTTAAATGAGTGCATTGGAACACGAAAAGCTGTTTTGGGAGTCAAAATGACACACTTAAATTGCTGTCAAAATATAACTATGCAGTTGCTCCATGACCCAACTCCATTTCATCACAAACTAAAAACGCCCTCACTTTTTTGTATGACCCAACTCCATTAGAGCGTATTCCCTTCGCATCCTGTTCAATTTCTGATTTTGTTGCATATTCATCTGCTCAATCTTTTTCAGAGCGAAATATGTACTCGAGGTATGATTTCATTAAGGATCTTAATCCGTCGAAGGAGGAGTGGAGGATTAAGGTGCAGGTTATTAGGACCTGAAATGTTCCTAATTTTCAGCAAAAAATTATTGACGACAATCTGGACATGGTTCTATTAGACGAGAAGGTAATGCTTTTCGTTCTGTTATTTTTTAATTGTTTATTTCATTTACGGTCCTTGTGTGAATGTATCTAATGTATCTTTTTTGTAGGGTGGAAGGATACATGCTACTGTCAAGGGAACTCTGAATGTCCGTAAAAAAATTTGCGAAGGGATGTCTATTTTATAAGAAATTTTGGCGTTGGGTTGAACAGTGATTCCTTCAGGCCAACTAGACATGATTATCGGCTATCGTTCAACTTGAGGACCGATGTTAAATCGACTGAAGATGCTACTATTCCTGCTAATGGATTTAGTTTTGTTGATTTTGACGTGATAGAGAGGGAATCAACTGACTCTCCTTATTTAGTAGGTAATGTTTTTTGTCTGTGTTTGTCGTTTGTATTTTATGTGTTAATGTCTATGATAAGTGTTCAACTTCTCCTCTCTGTAGACGTCATCAGTTTGCTGTCATGTATTGGAGACGTTCGTGAGCATGTTGTGTCTGGCAGAAAAACAAAAATGGTTGTGTTGGAACTTGATGACCTCTGGTATGTTTGTGTGATTATTATGGAGTATATTTTCAGATTAAATATATTTTTATTTCTTCCAACTTTCGTGAAATAGGGGTCACAAGCTCGAATGTACTTTGTGGGAGCAGCATGTAGATAAAGTTCAGTCATTGTTGGAAAATAACGATTCTCCTCAAAACGTTGTGATCGTCCAGCTTGCAAGGATTAAGGGTTTCAGGGGTATTTTCAATAATTTGTGCTTAATATATTTCATTTTTTTAATTTGTGTGTTCTGAATCTCCGTTACTAAAGTTTTCTTGATTGATTAGGTAAGATAGGGATAACAAATACAAAATATACGACGAGAATTCTATTTGATTCTAGTCTTCCTGAAATCGTGGAGTTCAAAAATAAGTGAGCATTCTCTTTGCGCGCTTCGTTAAAAAAAAGGGAAAAAAAATTAAACACACGCATTTTATTAACACTACGCTTCATTATGAGTTTAACTTGCTGTTCGGTGATCATTTTGTTGTTGTGTTGCGTTTTAGGCTGTCGTATCCAATAGATAACAGTATGAGGTTGACTCAGTTGTCCAGCCAATCGTCGTATTCTTTGGAAAATGATTTTCTGAAAGACACAGAGAGAAAGTCTATTTGTGATATCAAGAATTGCAGTGAGATTACTACTTGCATTACTTATGGAACAATAAAATCAATTGAGTCGAAGTACAACTAGTGGTACAAGTCCTACAAGAAATGCCCGTATTCTGTATGCGAGGATTTTGAAAAATGGTTTTGTAAGAATTGTCAAAAACACTGGGACGATTATTGTCCTAAGTAAGTATTATTTTGTGAGTTTTTTTGAGACGAAAAAAATCAGTGTGTTATGTACTTATTTGTTGACTGTTGTTTGTCGTGTGTGACAGGTTTAGTGTTCAAGTCAGGGTGGTAGGTAACACAGATTCTGCCTCTTTCATACTGTTTGATAAAGACTGTGTAGCTTTATTAGGAATGGGTGCTGCTGAAATACGGGAACAACATTTCAAGCGGGTTTTATACTTATTTCAAGCATTTTGTCATCCGTTCATTGTATTTGTACTTTGGAATTCCTTTGTGATATGTTTTCTTTTTAAATTTTTTTCCTTTTTTTCCTGTAGGGTGCTGATTTGGAGCTCTATCCAGAAGAACTGAACATTCTCAATGAGAAATCCATGTTGTTTAAGGTCAATGTGAAAAAAAAGCATTTAGACTCATTGAACGAGCCAAAATATCAAGTTTCAAGGGTTTGCAACAGCGAATCTATTATCCAGTCATTTCTTAAGTCTGTGATGGAGTTTAATGTATGTCGTTCTAAATTAAGGTCTTTTATTTGTTGCGTTTTTTATTTTTGTTACATGATGTTGTTAACGAATGTATGTCGTTTGTTTATTTGGTTTGAATTTTTACGTTTTTTTAAAAAATAATGCAGGATGAGACCTTGTTTGATAACACCGAGGACAATGATGTTGTATCACAAGAACGTGGACGAGTTGCTCTAAGTTAACAACAACAATTGAATGAAGTTTTTGTCCGTTTCCATAAACATACATTTGTGACATTTTTGACTTTTTTTTTCAGGATGTTGAGAGTCAAACCTGTGAGAGTACAGGAGATGCAGATGTGTCTCTGTCTTTGTTGTCACCCTCTCCGAATTTTCTTAATAGTGTTGAAGCCAAGTGTAATTCTTCTATTGTCCGTCCTTTGAAAAAGATTAAACTGGAGAAAGAGTTAAGTCCCATCCCGTAAATTCTCAGTGTGTTATGTACTTTAGTCATTTATATTGTAATCCTTATTGCATTATTCGCTGACACGTGGGAAAAAATATTTTGGAATAGGTTTGATGGTAAAGCTGGAGACACAAAACCGGAGGAAGGAGATCCTTGACTTATTGCGAGTTGTATGTGTTGATACAGACGACAATTTGGTCGAAAGAATATTTTTGGTTAAACTGTTTTGCGAAGTATTCAGATGCATGTTCGTGATAGAAATGTTAATTTTGTGGACTTTTTGTTCCATTCGGTACAACAATATTGGAATGGATTATAATATTATTATATATTTGCTTCTCCGGCTTGGATTTTGAATAATTTAAAATGTTGTTAACGTGATTTTCTATGTGATAAGGTGTGTGCATTGGAACACGAAAAGTTGTTTTGGGAGTCCAAACGACACTCTTAAATTGCTGTCAAAATATAACTATATAGTTTCTCGATAAGGGAATAAACATAAATTGCTCTCAAAACATGTGAGAGAGTTATAACACCATTAATTGATTTAATCATCATTATTTTAAAATTCATAGTAGATTCATTGACTCATATAATAACTAATAGGTCATTAATTCTTATTTGTCTATCGCCATTTTTTTCTTCAATATTTGACTAATTCCAATAATGAGAAATTTATTATTAATAAATTATAGTTATGCATTGCAATTAAAAAGCAAAGTTTTAATGCAATCTTTAATGATTGGGTGCACAAAAAATTAAAACATAACAATAAATAACCAACCGTCTATAAAGGAAAAGACCTTCTGTATTCTTTCCATGATGATTATTGTTGGTAAATTAGAAGTCTTTTAACATGCTTTTATGACTACAAAGTAAAGATAATTAAATGTCTTTTTATGATTCCCAGATTCAACTTCATTAGCCCATTCATCTTTTGTAGTAAAAATTAATCCTGAGCGTTCTTTTTTCATTTTTTCTCCTTTTTTCGTTTAGAATAAAAATTATAAATGATTTAATCGTTATTATGTCTAGCGCCATTTTTTTTCAAGGGAAAAAACATCAATGAAAAGTTTCATGAAATGTGACTCCCAGATTCAGTTTCACCAATGTGTTCACACTTAAGAAAATTTAAAAACTTTCTTCTTTTGGTATTTTTGTTAAATCGAACATGCATATTAATTATCCAATTAGATAATTGTTTTTCATATTTTTCACCAATGTCTTCCACATCTTTATACATTGGTAATCGTTATGTGCATTTAATGTTATAATTTGAATTCAAATAAGAAAAGAGACTTTTCAAGTTCATTTTGGAAGTTGTGTATAAATAATGATGATGATGTGTGTTGCTTCATGCTTTTATTGCTGTACACGAAACTACAATTTTTTAATTAATGGAGCCAGAATTCGAAAATTAATTTTAGAATTGCGAAAATCAAAATTCCAAAAGGTTACATAACTCTTAAATGGGTTGGTAAATGAGAAGTCTTTTAAATGAGAAGTCTATTAAATGATTGTTTTTTAATTAAAAGACCTTTCGTCTTCTTTCCAAGATGATTATTGTTGGTAAATGAGAAGTCTTTTAACATGCTTTTATGACTACAAAGTAAAGATAATTAAATGTCTTTTTATGATTCCCAGATTCAACTTCATTACCCCATTCATCTTTTGTAGTAAAAATTAATCATGAGCGTTCTTTTTTCATTTTTTTCTGCTTTTTTCGTTTAGAATGAAATCTTAAAGTGAAACGACTCAACTCATACTGCGTTGTACCTTTGCGAAAATTCCAGAGTTCCATTTGCATACCATTCATTATGAGAAAAAATCCATTAGAAACACTAACTCCTTCGAGTAAAAGAAGGAATAATGGTCGTTTTGGTGATAGGTTATGTATTTACTCCCCTACAGACGGTAATACGTCCTCTCCGACGACCTTAGAAAATATGACTCATTTGAATTCCTGCTCCCTTGGCAGGTAAGCTTTTTCGTTAATTTATTTTTCGTATACATAATTAGTTTTGGCGTTTGTAAATATGCCCTTGCATCAATGTTTTTTTCCCCTGCAGACTTTCTGGGATCGAATATATCCAGGATGAATTCGACATCAACAGACAAGCAGGATGACACACTTAAATTAATCATTTGGGACGAAGCCCCAATGGTACACAGATTTTGCTTTGAGGCTTTGGACAAAACACTAAGGGATATTCTGAGATTTTCTGATACCGGTTGTTTTGATAAGCCATTTGGTGGAAAGGTAGTTGTTATGGGAGGTGACTTTCGACAGATAATGTGCTGAAGCAGGATGCTAATTCTGAACTTGAGGACAACGAATTCTCACCTGATATTTTAAATACCTTCTCATGCTCGGGTCTTCCTGAACATAAATTAACTCTTAAGGTTAATGTGCCAGTTATGCTGTTGAGAAATATTGATCAATCAAGAGGTTTGTGCAATGGCACAAGACTGCTCATTTCACGATTGGGCAGTCATGTTGTTGAGGCAACTGTTCTTACAGGAAGCAATATAGGTGAGAGTGTTTTGATCCCTAGAATGACGATGAGCCCATCCAATCATACATTTCCTGTATATTTCCAAAGAAGACAATTCCCTTTGACTGTTTCATTTGCCATGACTATCAACAAGAGTCAAGGACAATCTCTTTCTCATGTTGGCATTTATCTCCCTAAACCTGTCTTCACTCATGGACAATTATATGTGGCACTATCTAGAGTAAAGAGTAAACAGGGATTGAAGATATTGATACTTGATGATAATAGTTGTGTTACAGAGAACACCTTTAACATTGTCTACAAGGAAGTATTTCAAAAATTAGTGTAGTTCTTTTTGTCCACTGTAAGATTATATTTCTTTCATTCTATTTCTTCTACATCTTAAAATATAAGTGTTATGTGTTTAATGACCAATCTGGGATCTGTAATGCGATCTCTAATTTTTTTTATTCCTTGCTTGCTATATTAATTTGTAATTTCTCTTCTCAAATAGTGTTCATCCAATATAATTTATGGTTGTTTTGTTTTTGGTTTTGGTAGGTTGTTGGACGTGTTCTTTTTGCCCGAGGAATGCAAGATAGAAAAAAAACAGCGAAAATTTATTGGTCGCACTGGCTGTATTCATTGTCCTGGATTCTGTAGCATTTTTGACTTCATTCAATAAGATGGCAAGTTGTTATTTTCAAAGTTTTGCGTGAATGCTGTAGTTTTTTCAAGTACAAAAATACCACGATAATTTTTTTCTATTTCAGATATGTCTCAAGTAACAGGTATTTTTTTTGTGTTTTTTTGTTATTTTTCAAAGTTTTTGTGTATTTTTTCATACATCTCCAGCATATTATAATTCAGAGCTTTACGCTAAGATGAAGGTGTTGATTTACAAACAGCGATGATTAACCAACGACGGGCGACAACAATTTTATTCTTTTTTCCCCGGGCATCGCACAGGTAATTCACTAGTTATAATCATAAAGACATTAACCAGCATATAAATTTTTTCAAGAGTAAATACCCTTTTTCGTCCCTGGAAATATTTGCGAAGCACAATTTAGTCCCTCGGTTTAAAAAAGTCACATTTCAGTGTTTCATCTTTGAAAAAAAGGGCCACGTTTGTCCTTCCGTTAGTTGGCATCTAACGGCCCAACTAACGGTGCACACGTGGACCGTTACTTTGCTGAGTCACCGTTAAGTATGCCAGCTTGGAAGTAAAACGACGCCGTTTTGAAGGTGCCTTATGTCTTGTTGGAGTTTTGAACAGCTGAAGGTCCTATTTGGTCCCTGACAAATTTATCGAGGCCCTATTTGGTCCTTAACACTAAAAGCAAAACAAGACCCAATATATGGGGGGGTCCCAATTCTGATTTCTGACACCTTCCCCATAATCTTCATACGTAACATTATAATAAATAAAGTACTGTTTTGCTAATATTTTTGTTTTTTATATTAAAATTATTATTATTATTATTATTATAGGCTGTCTAGGCAGGATTCTTTGCTGTTTACCTGACCACTGAAGACAAGTGAATGACAAATAAAGAAGCCAAATAGTTTTTTCTTTTAATATATAAGATACATTGGTGCAATATTCTAATATATGCTAATTAAATGATATTTTTACCCTCCAAATTTTCACACTATCAGCCCCATGGAGAAGGATGATAACTGATAGTGATAACATTATCTATATTGGGACTAGGGTCAAGTGTTAATCTAATAATTTCTGAGATACTTTAATGGTATATTAGATGTGGATAGTATATATATATGTTTCTTGTATTTTCTACATGCTAAACTTGCACTGTTTCATTAATGGCCTCATATGCCTGTTAGCTCAGATCTCTAAGCCAATCAATATTTTTTATTTGGAAGGTGAGGATGCAGCTTCCTGCTAAAAAACTAAAATTCATCTTCACACAAAAACCAGAATGATATAGAGTTACTCCCTCCCCCTAGCTCCATTTGTGACACTGCTTTGGTGGAAGTGAGGTGCCTTAATATGAACTTCAGAAAGTAACAATGTAAGTGGGAGCGGTAAAATATTTAATACCATCAATTAATACTATGCATCAAACTTCATGATATATTGATGTGACAATGCAAAAGGACTATGTATGGAAACATTGTTCTTAGACCCATGTGTTTACCCATGATGGCATGGCTTGCAAAGTTGCAACCATATTCTCTGGGAATCTATCAATAAACAGATCTAATGGCACTGAGGACTGTGGATATGATTTTTTTATAGATGGACCACTTTACATCATGTGCATCATGTGGCATGAGGTAACTCATCATTTACTAATTTGTTTTATCTTAATCATGTGTAACAATACATATGAGTCAGTTTATCATGTCAAAAATGTTAAACTATTGTTACTAATATACAAAAGAATCTGAATCAGATTAGATGAGAAATGACCGTACATAAATCATCATCAAAACAGACTACAACATCATGTTTGAGTAAAGCCACAACTAGCCAGGGATTCTCGTGACACTTCAATTTGCACAATAGTTACCCCCAAACTTTGCAGTCTGTTTTCCCTCTGCTATAATAACCTGCCCAAAAAAACCTCCACTGCACTCAAGCACTCTTGGCACCCACCCTACCCTCCCCCTCTCTCTTGTTCTATCTCTTCACTAAGTAATAGTGAACTTCAATTTGGATATATCATCCATAAGGGGTGTCAAAGAGACAATGCAAAGTTCGGGTTCATTGTTGAGACAGTTAAGTGTGAAGGAGGCTTGGAAATCAACATCAAATAGGTGGAGTAGGAAGGACAAATATATGGTCGAAGAGCCCACAATGAAACTTTTTTCCTTAACACTAAGAACCCACAATGAAACTTTTTTCCTCTATGATCGAAGAGCATAAGCCTTGCCAATAGCATAAGCCTTGGTTTGCTGCACTGGTGGTTTGAAAGGTTTGCTGCAATGGTGATTTTTTAGTGTTAAGGACCAAATAGGGCCTCGATAAATTTGTCAGGGACCAAATAGGACCTTCAGCTGTTCAAAACTCCAACAAGACATAAGGATCCTTCAAAACGGCGTCGTTTTACTTCCAAGCTGGCATACTTAACGGTGACTCAGCAAAGTAACGGTCCACGTGTGCACCGTTAGTTGGGCCGTTAGATGCCAACTAACGGAAGGACGAACGTGGCCCTTTTTTTCAAAGATGAAACACTGAAATGTGACTTTTTTAAACCGAGAGACTAAATTGTGCTTCGCAAATATTTCCAGGGACGAAAAAGGGTATTTACTCTTTTTTCAAATAAAACCATACATAGTACTTTATAACACCATATAAATTAAGGAAAAAAAAGACTTCTAACATTGCATGAGAAGTCTTTTTTTCTATCACTCTTACTTTGATATCCGTATTAATTTCTTTTCTATTTTCTATTTTTTTAAGATGAATTTCACTTTTTTTTCTGTCGGTAACAAAAATGAAATATAAGAAATTGCAGGCCCATAAATTAAATAAGAACACAAAAGTGATATCTCTTTTGATGTGATGGTTGCGTCTGATTTGCTGGGAAATTTTTTTTGTGCTATCAATACACTAAACTTAAGCGCATCGGTATTTATCCTAAGTATGTAGATGGATTTTATACAGATTTCTAAAATTCTAGGATCCGCCAATATATTTTAAGATAAATGAACTTCGATTGTGAGAGTCGAACAAGAAAAGATTGACATCCAATGTGAAATCTATTAAACATGAATCGCTACCTTTATATGGCAAATTTTGATGATATTCGTTGCAAGAAATGGGAGATATAGGGTTGGGTATCTATTTAATTAGTTGGTCCACAACTGGAGAGAATGGCAGTCATTTTTATCGATTTTTCAAAGACAGCCCCACATATATTGTACTAAGCGGGTTGATCGTCTCAGAGACTTTTCTTTCAATGAACAATGATGGTTCATTGGTCAGAGATGGGGTGGGGTACTCCTCAAAGTTAGTTTCAATTTTCAAAATAAAAGGATTTATATAGAATTATTTAATTTTGTATTTTTTTTTTAGTTATGAATAGATTTTTATATTTGAATTGACTGGTACTCTGTCTTAAAAGAGTGCTCTAAGTTCATAAAGGAAATACCTTTTCAAAAACAATATATTCTTCATTAGCATTTGCTTATTAAAAGAGTATATTGGCAAGAAAATACTATTGTTTTTTCTTTTTTAAGAAGTACAATTATTTGTTTATCAAAAGAGCACCCTACTAATAATAAGAATACTATTAGTTGTCATTTGATAATCAAGAAATCTTAACAAGAGGAATTTTTTTTTTTCAATTTGTCTTACATTACTGCTCGTCAGTTGTCACAAATTAAATACACGTTAAATATTATTATTATTATTATTATTATTATTATTATTATTATTATTATTGAATTGAACCAATCCCAGTTACTATTAACATTTTTATAACTTGCCTTAATATACCAAAAGAATGCAATGCCACCTTAAATAACAAGAATGTGGTGAAGAAGCTCAGATGAATGATGAATCATGATAAGATAATATCTTATATCTGGAATTGTGGATAGAAAAGTAAAACTACCTAATGAGAAATACCTGTGGAGGATTTTTTCCATACAACCTTGGTAAAGTAATCAATAATAAACACATTATAATGTGATAAAAACTAATGAGTATATAATATAAAGGGAAAAACATCTATCCTTTTAAAGGATATAAACTTATATAATTTTAGATCCTAACCGTTGATTTCCGTCCATTAACGGTTATAATCTATTGGGTCAAATTTAATGGGCTAAATTTATTATTAATTAATTAATAATTTTGATTCAATAAATTATAACCGTTGATTAATAAGCTTATATCTTTTAAAATAACAGATGTTATTCCCTAATATAAAATAATAATGTATTTATTGTTTGATTAATTTAACCTATTCAAGTTGTTATTTACACAAATTTTGCACGAGTATTCCATCAGCTGCGGAGCTGGCAAGGCACGCATTATTGTTGACTTATGGTATGAGAGAATGTGGTTCCATGGCGCCAAGCCGCCAATCATTCTTTATGTTGGTGCGAAATTTTTCTTAAGTTAGCTATGAAGTTGGTGGTGCCTAAGCAGCTCCCCCACTTATACGCTCTCTTTGTCATCCATTTCACACCTTTATGTTGCTTTCATTCTTCAATTTTTTTTTTAAAAAAAAAATTGTGGTCCTAATTAAACATATTATTGAGACCATACACTTCGGAACATAAAAACAATAAAATAATGTGATTATTTTGTCAATTGTTACTATGAAAGATAAGATTTTGTTAACAAGTGACTAAATATATTTCTAAAAG